ACAGAAGCAGAGGGTGCGTGGGGGAGGCACAGGGTTGCTCTGCTGCAGGGTTCTTCTCTCCAAACTCGTCACCAAAAACCGCATCTCACATTTCTGCAAAGGGGGGGAAAACAAAAATTTTTTTTTTGGTGAGATGATTGTTGGGGGGAGGAGGGCTGCACTGGGGGCTACTGGGGGGGCTCTGGTCCCCATCCTGCTCCATTGCCTCCCAGTATGGCTCAGGGCCAGCAGAAGCAATGCAACACTTCCCACCAGTCACCCCATTTTGGACACTCAGAAGGGAACAGATACTGAGAACTGGGATTTATCATTTTGCTTTAAAATCAAGTTGTCTCCACCTCCAGCCTGGCACCCAAGGACCCCTTTGGAGAAGAAGTGTGGCCCCTGCCTCAGTTTCCCCAGTAAGGAAGCTACTGGGGACCAGCCAACCTCACAGGACTGGCAAAGCTGTCAGAGACCCCCCCAGCACAGCATCACCCCCATCTCCAGTGACACCTGCAGCCCTTTACCAGGAGAAAAACATCTGCAGGAGGAGACCACGACCCATCCGTGCTCCCCACGGGCTGGGATCCCCCTCTTTGCCACCACACAGACCCTCTGAAGCAGTTCCCACTCTGCAGATGTAGAAGTCTCACTCCAAGACCTGCCCATGGTGTCACTTAAAGCCAACACACCCCAAGGGACATCTCCACTGCCACGTGTGAGGTGGCACCTGCCAAGTCTGAACCCTCAATTTCCTCCTTCCAGGTGGATATTGCCACAGGGGTGATTTTTTCCAGGTTGGGATGTAACCACAAGGGGAAATGTTCTTCTTCTCCTCCTCACCTTCCCTCCCCGTAGCAAAGAAAAGCCTTTGAGCAGCAGCTGGGGGGAAGCTGTGTGCAAAGAGCCACAAACATCTGCACATCTTCTTGAAAAAGCCACCAGCTCTGTAGGTCACGCTGTTTGGCCACCTCTTTTGATGGCCTTCATGGTCAGGACCAAGCTGGCCTTCACATCCCTAATCCTCTCCACCTCCTGCCACCTCCACTTCACTCACTGAGGGAAACTGAGGCACCAGAGAGGGAAGACACTCAAGTGGTGGAATTCTTGCCCCAGCTGAAAGAGCTTGAAGGGGGTTGGGGGGTGACATCCAGATGAGTCCCCCTCAGCAAAAGAAAAGGGGGACCAAAAGCAGAAGGATCCAGCCCTGCCACGCTGGAGGCAGCTGCGTACGTACCCTCCAACACCTTGTCCAGGTCTGCAATGAACTCCTCCAGCTCCTGCGTGTCTCCAAGCTTGGCTACTGGAGAGAAACACCTCGTCAGGTCTCCCCCATTCCCAGTTCTCAGCTCTGATTTGGGAGAATCATCAAATCATGGAATGTTGGGAGTAGGAAGGACCCACCAGGATGATGGAGTCCATCTCCTGTCCCTGCACAGGACAATCCCAACATTCACACCATGTCCCTCAGGGCCTTGGCCAAATGCTGCTGCAATCTTGTCAGGCTTGGTGCCATCAGCACCTCCCTGGGGAGCCTGTTCCAGTGCTCCACCACCCTCTGCCTCAAGAACCTTTTCCTCATGGCCAACCTCACCCTCCCCTGCCACATCTTCCTGCCATGTCCTCTGCTCCTGGCATTGGTTGGTGGCCAGAGAGAAGAGATCAGCACCTGCCCCTCCTCTGCCCCTTGGGAGGAAGTTCTAGACCCCCAGGAGATCTCCTCTCAGTCTCCTCTTCCCCAGGCTGAACAAACCAAGTGACTTCAGCCTCTCCTCACACCCTTCCCCTCTAAACCCTTCCCCAATGTTGTGTCTCCTCTGGACACTCTCCAGCAGCTTTAGATCCTTTTTCTCCTGTGGTGCCCAAACTGCCCCCAGTGCTGGAGGTGAGGTCACCTCAAGAGAGTTGAGTGGGACAATAACAGTCACACACTGAGGAGCCAGGGGTTTCACCAAGGATGCTGCTTGAAGAAGGAAAATCCCAGGACTAACCCTGACCTGCAGACACGCAGCATTTCCACCCCCACATCCCCTCTGCCCCTGACCTCAGACCCGAGCTCTGGGGTGGGATGGTGCCCACAGGTATCACATGGAACCTATACCTCTCCCAGGATCCAGCCAGGACCCCAGGACTCACACCCACCTCCAAACCCTTCAGAGCCCCATCGGCACACCCCACCTCCAAGGAGAAAGGCCCATGGCTGCTGAGCCAAGACAAGGAGGCAGAAGGAAGCCCTGGAATCAGCCCTTCAGACAGAGCTTTCAGCCTCACCTTTGGAGGGGAAAGCATCTGCAGGCGTGTTGAGGTCCTCCTCGCTGGAGTTCAGACTGCTCCCTGGAGATGTGCTGGTACCTGCAGATACAAGGCATCAGTCACAGTCCGTGGCCACAGACACCTCATAAACAAGTTACAGGACCAGGGACCAATCTTGTGGGTGGCACAGGGTCCCTGGTCCATCCTCACTCTTGGCCAGCCCATCTGCTCGTCCCCTGCTGCAAGGAATGCTTGGAACAAGGGAGCTGAGCCAGGCCAAAGAGCACCAGAGGTTGCCTGGGCACAGCCATGGAGACTCATGAGGGAGCAAACTGGTTCCCTCTGAGCTCCCAGTTATCTCAAGCCTAGTGCAGCCAACCCAGCAGAAGGAACCCCAGCAGATGCTGGCAGGCCCTGGGCCAGGATCCAGTGGTCACCTCTGCTCTGCACTGGGGCACTTTGGGCACCACAGGAGAAAAAGGATCTAAAGCTGCTGGAGAGTGTCCAGAGGAGGGACACAACATTGGGGAAGGGTTTAGAGGGGAAGGGTGTGAGGAGAGGCTGGAGTCACTTGGTTTGTTCAGCCTGGAGAAGAGGAGACTGAGAGGAGATCTCCTGGGGGTCTAGAACTTCCTCCCAAGGGGCAGAGGAGGGGCAGGCGCTGATCTCTTCTCTCTGGCCACCAACCAATGCCAGGAGCAGAGGACATGGCAGGAAGATGTGGCAGGGGAGGGTGAGGTTGGCCATGAGGAAAAGGTTCTTGAGGCAGAGGGTGGTGGAGCACTGGAACAGGCTCCCCAGGGAGGTGCTGATGGCACCAAGCCTGACAAGATGCCAGCAGCATTTGGCCAAGGCCCTCAGGGACATGGTGTGAATGTTGGGATTGTCCTGTGCAGGGACAGGAGTTGGACTCCATCATCCTGGTGGGTCCTTCCAACTCCCAACACCCAATGATCTGATGATCCCAATGGACACCATCCTCCCCCAGGACCCCAGACTCACTCTCCAGCTCCTCGATGCCGCTGTCATACACTCTGTGTGCCACTTTCTTCTTCAGCTCCTCCAGGTGCTGCTCGTACTGACACGCAGGACCTCGCTCAAAGTCCTCCATCACCTCATCGAACTCCCGCAGCAGCTCCCCGAGCTCCTCAGCCATCGCTGCGGGA